TATGTTATCACATTTTAGTGACTGTAGACACAGTGTTGGATGATTATTGAAGGTACTGGATGCTTACTACACATAATTGTAATGCTTTTACTCTTTTACAAAGTCTACAGATAATTACAGTACATTCCAGGTCTTTCTAGTCTGCTGTGTCTTCACATACTCATTTCTTGGCAATGGTTTCTGACAGTGGAAATTCTCTCTGTTGCTTCCGTGTCTGTTGGCTTCTGTCCTCGATGGCTGACAACTGACTGACAGCTAACAACTGGTTTCTTGGTTTTGGGCACCATCAGGATCCATGGCTGTATTTTTCTGTTTCATGACTCTGACTGAGTTGACAGACTGACTCTGCCAGTTAATTGGACAAATTGCTGCTGGCCACAGTCAGCATAGTTATTCTTGGTTCTGGGTCCTGTGAGACCCATCACCATATATTTCTCTCTCACAACTCCCTGTATAAGTTCAAGGTGGACCAAATAGAAAACACTGCCTGCAACAGTTCCCCTATTGTTCTCTGCATATTGGTTGCATGGGAATGCATTTACAAAGCTGTTGCCTAGCACTGGACTTTCTTGTGGTGCTTCTCTAATTCCACTATTCCAGCTTTCAGGCTTAATGTCACAGTACTTTTAAATCTTCTTAGGTGCTGTCTTTTTCTAGTTGTTTATGAAATGGCTGGGTTGAACTACAGAATCATGGCTGCACTGGAGATCATGCTGAATGTTGGAACATTATTATGTGACACTGAATGGATTTACAGGAAAATTTTCCACATCTGCTGCAGCAGAATCAGGAATTGGAGGTGCATTGTCTGTGACAGAGAGGAAGGGAAGCAGTGATTCATTAACATCCCAAAAGAGCATAGAATCTCAGCGAAGTAGTGACTCCCAGTCAAGTGCCCCTGTTCGTGACACACTACATAAAGCAAAGAGACAGATACAAGCTCTCATTGGTAAATTAATCTTCCGTTGTGTAATAGTGGCCACTATTGCTAATTAAATGTGTACTAAATGGTATTCATAATATTTAAACTTTCCTTCTTCTGTCATCCTTCCACCCTTCTACATTATTTATGGCGCCAAGCCCTTCTTGAGGAGCCGCCAATTCTGCAGCTAGTCATGTATTTCCCAGCATTTTATGGAACCCAAACGTTCATTATCCGTTACTGTGTTCACAAGAGCCCTATCCTGAACCAGATCAATCCAAGCCATACCATCCCAGCCTCTCTCTCTAAGATCCAATTTAATATTGTCCACCCTACACCTTGGTCTTCCTAGTGGTCTCTTTCCTTCTGGCTTTCCCACCTATATCCTATATGCATTCCTCTTTTCCATTCGTGCTGCATGCCCTGGCCACCTTATCCTCTTTTACATCCTTCTATATGTTAAAAAAACTTAAGTGTGAGATTTATGGCTGTCACTGCACAGTTTTGGGTTACTGTAACACTGAATTGTTGACCTTTAACACTTTGCATGAGCACAAGTTATGTAGTAGGTCATGAATGAACAGTCAGTATTTTGTTTCAGTGTGTCATGTCTTCACTGAGTACTGATAATAGTATTTTGATGTGGATATTTGATGTGTAGTATATTGCATAAATGAGAAGGGTTACAATTGAGTGTTTTGTGCATGTTATTTGTGGGCTCTGGCATTAAGCATTTGCCTTTACACATCTTTGAATGGCAGGCATGAGAGAAAATAGTGAAAGCTAATAGTACAAAAGCTTAACACATAATGAGACTTCTCGTTGAATTCTCAGTGGGCGTTGCACTACTTTGCATTAAAATATTGTTCGTTATGTGGGGCCTGTTTCTTAATTTACTGATTATTCTCTGGTTTCCATCTAGATGCATTTCTTAAATAGAATACTAATATTTTAGTAATTATTGTGGGTTGGTTAAGGAGAAGAAGGTGAACTTTGGTATTTCTTGACTAGCTGAATGAATTTCAGCTTCTTAAGATGGACTCTGCCTCATGGGGTTTGCTTCCAATTGGAGAAGAAAGTAAATGAGAGAGTTGTTTAGCAACATCTGCAAAACTGTGGAAATACCACACTTATTTATAAAGAGTAGCAAGGTGATTGGACCCTCTGAAAAAAGAAGTGATCTGGCTATTTCTTATAATTCTGCCTACCTACAAGATTGATATGAAGCTGATAATTTGGTATGTGTAAGGGACTGCAGTGCTGTTGTAATAAGTATTTTGGTGCAAATGGTGTAGGAGAGTAGTCATGTGATTCATGCTACAGATATATAGTATTGTGACATCATTGCATTGCCAGGCAATGGCTTGATGAACACACCGCAATACACACGCAATAAAGGAACAATGGGATATGCAACCTGCTTCTAGGGAACGGCTCGGTAAAAACACTTCCACGCAAGCACAGTGACATCACACTCTAACGGTGCTTAGCTATCGTGTCTTGTGTTTTCTGTGTGATCTGTGCTACACAACAGTAGAACTGTGTTTTCTGCCTTGTTCGTGCTGCAGCTACATAACACGAGTCCACATGCAGCTAAAGAGAGAGTTTTTAGTTGAGTTCCTACGTTTCAGGGTGATTAAACAAGAAATGGCAAGAAGACTTCATAGTGATTTCAGGTGTTAGTTTCTGCTTTGAGGTACATTTCCAGGAGATGACTGATGAAGACAGAGAATCCTAGTGTGTGTGTGCAGTGGTGAATGGAAAATGTGTGAATCAGCAATAGCACTGTATTAATTGTAATTAAGAGGTATTGTAACCGAAGTGCCAGTAAATCCATTCATCCAAACTAGAACCCGTTATTTTCATCAAGCGTACTCCCTGACATCTAACGGTATGTTACATGAATTGTAGTTTAATTAATGTTTATATTTCATAATATTAGAGATTTTGAGGTTGGCTGCTTTCTCGTTAACTTTCTGCTTGCAATAAAGATTATAATTCTCATACTAGCTCTAAAATTCAAGATAAATTGATAACTGTGTACAGTAATTGTGTTTCCTTTGTTACCATTTTTATTGTCCTAATTTGTGACTACACCTTTTTATTTTAACATAGGAACAAGTAAATCCTACATAAGTTGTATAATCCTTTCATATTTACATAAGGTTACTTCAAGAGTGAAGTGTACAGCAACAGGTATAAAATTCATGATGAACTGCAGATGATTAAAATGTAGATTTTAACTCTCAACTTTAATTTTAATTAATCTTTGAACTTTACCATAAGGTTAATACTAACAGTGTACCAACTCAGGGGCTGTATCAAGAAAGTACCTTATAATGGTCACATTACTGACCAAAACACATACCAATAGTGTTGATCAGTCAGTGTACGAGTAAGTGACATTTTGAACAGAAAGATGCACCATCTGAACATTTACAGAAAGTTATGAAAAAGGGACTGAAATAATAATATTAATTTATCACTTCACAAATTGCTGAAATGTAGTATTATCTTACATTGAAATTACCCTTGTGAGCTAGTCACAACAGACTTGCTGTGACATGTTGCAGGTGTAGGTAAGAAGTCTGACAAATGGGATGGTGGTACTGCACCTCAGGTACATAGTGATGGAGAAGTCGATGAGACCATTCCCACCACCACTAGGTCAGCGCCTACAATCATCTCCTCAGCACCTAGTAATGAGTCATTTTCAGGCAGTGATCACAAATCAGTGCACAGTGTGTGGAGGAAACGTCCAGACTTGACATTTGATTTGAGTGATGGAAGTTCTCTCAGAAAATCTGTAGCAACAGACTTAACAGATGCATCTCATGATTCCAGATTAAGTAGCACTTTAAGCTCAGAAATGTGCATTGTAGCTCCCCCTGTCAGGCGAGAATCAAAATTAAGCCGTCAAGAGGCTGCATCTGCTTTCTTGTTTGCGGAACAAAGGAGCAGGACTCCTCTTAAGACCAGTGTAAGCCATGACGAGCGACATTCTCTGCGTAATCCAGACCCTGAGATTCCTGTGAGGATGACGCGGAGGCAGAGAGCTCCTCGAGAGGTAGTGTGCCGTAGTGTTGGTGAAGAGTTAACAGACACCTCCAATGTTGATCCTACTGGTAATCCTCTCTTTCTTGGGACCATCCGAGAATCAAACATTTCTTCAGATGGAAGCTCAGCTGGAGAGAACCGAACGGTATGTCAAACCTTTATTTTTATTTATTTATTTTCTGCTTTTATTAATTTGTTAATGGATAGTTTCCCCACATGTTTTGTCAGTGATATGATATATGATATGATATGATATGATGTGTTCTTATACTTCACTGTATATTGCCACAGAGTATGTTAACTTGTTGAGTAATATTAAATCTTCTCTCTTCCATGTAACTGTGTTAGGTACATTACGAATTCTTGAATTGATAAAGGTCAGGAATTTGTCAGAAAATACTTGATTGGCAAAAAGTCAGCCAGTTCACATTTTGAACAGTCTTAACTATTGAAAAATCACCAACCGACTGCCACCCCGAAAGTTCCATTAACATGTCTGACATAACATACAGTAAGTTATTCAGTTAACCAAAACTCTGTTTATGTGCATCTTGACATTAGCATCAATTTGAACTTGTCATGATCTTCTTACATTGTTTGTTAGGTGGGGCATGTAGCTGCATGCAGAGATGGGAAATGCATACAAAATTTTTGTTCAGAAACTTGAATAGTAGAGACCACTGTAGAGATTTAAGTGCAGATGGTAGAATTAATGCTGAAATGGATTTAACCCACTTAATGCCAGGCCCCAACCTGATAGCACTCCCCAAGATTTCCAAACCTTGTTTTCTTGTGCTAACTGAGGTAGAATTTCTGAATGTTATGTTTCTCCAAAAAGCCATCCTAACAAAGAAATATACATATCAATGGAATGCTCTGACTTCTAAATATTGTATGACACTGATTGGCAAAATTTAGCATTGTGGATATATATACACACTGTGCTGATGAGGGTAAGGTAAAGTTTTCCCTTTGCTTAACTAATTAAGCACTGTAACCTGAAGACGTATGGAGGAGTGGATGTATAGATACGTATTTTCTTGACCTCAGCATTAGTTGGAGGTGAGTGGTCAGCTTCTGGATTCATCTGACACAGGACAGGAAGTAAATAATCTTGTTTGATTCTGGCTGTTTATAGAACTGAAAGGTTGATTTTGTATTGTGTGTATTCTCTAAGCTCTTATATTAACAAATATTCACTGTTCTCTTAACTGTGAGTTTAACAGTAGCTGTCAGTAAACTGTGTTCAAAGTGGAGGAATATACGTATTAGTTGCTTACTTACTTACTCATGGAGCTGAGCCCTTCTGGAGGAGCTGCCAATTCTGCAGCTACTCAAGAGTTTCCCAGCATTTTATGGAGCCAGAAGGTGCATTACCGTGTTTACAAGAGCCCTCCACTGGTCCCTATCCTGAGCCAGATCAATCCAATCCATACCATACCATCCTGTCTCTCTAAGATCATATAAATATTACTTACATTTCGTAATGTTATTGTCAGGTACCATGTCATTTTTATGGGTGTGTATTTCAAAATATGCTGCTTTTATAACATTCAAACATGTCTGTGTGTGTTCAGTTTGTATTCTTGTTCTTGAGTAATTTAAGGTATGTGATTATAGATATGGGCATCAAGGAAAGAACCACGGTCGAGTGATGGCAGTGAGAGTTCATATGCTAGTCGCCTGTCATCTTCACAAGAAGCAGAATGGTCACCGGATATGGATACTTCAGCATATACAAAGTCGGGGCTTCAGATCCATTCAGTAGCGACTAAGAGGAGTAGAAGTGGTGCAATAACATCGTTGGAGTTGAAGCGAAGGAACAGTGATCCAGCCACAAAGTGTGGAACCTTGATCACAGGCCAGCCTGCTGGAGCAGATACTCCTGCCAAAGTGTCAGATGTTTTGGAATGGAAAGGAAACACCATGTTCACAATTGCAGGCCACAGGTTCAGAAAAGTGGCAAGGTTTTCCAAGGAAGATAGATGCGTCTCCTGTGATAAATCAATGGATGCCTTTGTTACACAAGGACATAAGTGTTCTGGTAAGAGGAAATTTCTTGTCTACTTTACCTAATTGTGGTGAATTATGTTTTATGATTTCAAAACTCTGTTTGATCCTTGAAAACCTGTCAGTATACACCCATATCTTGATTTAGCATAAAAGCACAAGCTCTTAATATTCTGTATATATATATATATATA